GGGGGGGGGGGGGGGGGGGGGGGGGGGGGGTACTCAGCCGTAGTCGTTAGACCATTGACCTCGCATCCCTACAAACCTGGACGGAGCACGCCGGGTTCTCACCGGACCAGGCTCTCACATCACCAAGCGCGAAGCACCGTGAGGTATTCGGCGAGTCGCATGAAGGGTGCGCTGCATCCTGCTAAGGGTGTCGGCATCTTGTGCTTACTTCCTTGCGTACGGATGACAGCTACGTATGACTTAATTTATTTTCTGGTGCTTTCACTTCCAGAGACAGTTGTAAGCGCTGTGTAACTGCCTCGAGGATGCTTAACCATTTTAACACAACGTGGTGCGATCATTCCCCTTGCGCGGAGTGAGGGTTCTCGACCCCGCACAACATGATCTACTCGACCGCTAATCATGGTTACCGCAAAAAAAAACAGAGGTAAAAAAAAAAACGGTAACCTGGTTGCCGAGTTCACGAAGTGAATTGGCTTGTTTTACAATGTCGTTGCCAGGCGACGAAATACGAAACCCAACCCCGACGGCAAACACCGGATAATTATTTCACAATCGTGCACGCGAGTAGCGAGAATTTCAACATCGCTTCGGACGATGGAGCCACGCGGCCCGGGAGGGTTCAAGCAGCCAGAAAGAACCCCTAAGGAGGGCATCTCTAGAGGGTATATTTGGAGGCGACCTACCCGTCATGAAACATGAAACAGGTAGTCAACACAAACAGCACAGTCGTTCCGAACGTCGTCCATGGATTTGTTCTATACCAGAAACCTGTTGCATCTTAAGCAGAGACCGGGAGAGGAAAGGAGGTACCAAAGGGATGATGCGATGTGCGCTGTCTGACAGACCATGAAAACCTATCTATCCACAACTGTGGGCAAAGGCCTAGCTTCGCACCTTTCTTACCCCCTGTTGTGGAGTGGCCAAGCGTCTGGGGTCGGTGCTAGGCCGAACAGTGACAGGCGTAAAGCCTCTGCTATTGCCACCGACACCACCACTACCGCTGCCACTCACACCCCCTCTCGCCAGCATTCCTGTCGGCCACAGCATGACCCCCGTCCTCGCGGTTGAGCTGCCGACTGCATCGGGCGTCGCCCCTGGCGTCCCTGGGATGGTGATCGTAGTACCGGCCCCACCAGAGGTGACGTTCGTGGCGCCGGCGTCCGCGCCGGCAACGGGGAACAGCTCCGTGCTACCGCTGCTGCCGCCGCTGCCGCCGCTGCCGCCTCCGCCCCCGCCGTATCGCTTGTGCGAAATGCGGCCACTGCCAAGGTTGCTGCTGGTTCCGCCGTCGTCCGCGACGGGCTTCGGCGTGGCAGGCGGTCGCCTGAAGATGATCAGCCCGCGTTGGGCGACGATAGTGGTGACATTGAACAAAATAGTGAAAACACAAGGCCAACAGGCCGTTTGATGAGAAGCATATGTGAGGTGAGGCAATTCAAATGTATCTCTTGTGTGCATGTATGTGTTGTGTTGCTTCTAAGGGAATCCAGCAGTGAACCCGTGTAAAATCGCGTAGTAAAGCCCCGTTCACCGCAGTCGTTACACGAACCAGTGACCGAAATGTGATAGCGCTTTCCTCCCATGCACGACCAAATCAGTCGTGCCTCTCCCCCTCCCCCACCCAACCTTGGCTGTGGTACATCTCATCCTGGAGACAATAATCCAAAAGTCACATCGACTCACTTGGGCTTGAATTGATTGCTTCTGTTTCTGCCGAATGACGCAGCCATGGCGGCGGTAGCATCAGCGGCCTGGGAGGGAAAACGGGACCAGGTCAGGATGGAACAGCGGGGAGCCTTACATTGGACAAGCCTTCGTGAGACAAAACCCGTGCCGTCAAGGACGGGGAATCCACTGCCCGCATCAGGTGTGCATACATTGCAGGCGCAGCAAAGATGACCCCACGAATTGGCGCCCGCCCCGGAGCACACAGTTTTCCCAACCGGGGAGGGGGCATGTACATAACACTCCCATGACGCGAAAAGAACGCACGAGCGAACCCATGCTTTTCATCCAGCAACAAACGGCCCATTCAAGTTTGGTGTTTAGGCTGTGGAACATGAAAAGTGAGAATATTTTCACATGACCGCTGCACCTGCTGGCGTCGCCCGATGTTTGACATGTTGGCGCCCGGAGTCCCGGGAATAGGAGACCCAGACCTGCGACGAACGTGGTGGTTGTCGTCAGTATCATCTAAGCATCACCACGGTAGAGAAGGACAAAACAGTTGTACAACTTCCTCGCAGCATGTCATGATGCATAGGACAACCCATGAAACCCATACATTTGTGTGAAGGGGCTACTGCTGCTGTCGAAGAAACTGTGGCACTCGTTGAAAAAATGCGTCTTCGATCCATCTTGCGGGTGCAATTTGAGCAGCAACTGAAACCAACGTATATCACGATGCAACAGGGGGGGGTCCATCGAACACGTCAAGTTCTAGGGGGGGAAACGGAAGGTTAATGCCTTCTTCCTGTGAGGTAACCTGTGACCGTGGGCATATTGCACTCCCTGTTTGGAGGAGTACCGAAAATGGAGGTGCTCGGGAGGTGTCGGAAGGGATTATTCTGTCAAGACGACGACGACAGCGACCACACCAGTGACAACTCCAAACTACCAACAAACATTGCTTAACGGGTCGCGCCTCAAACCACCGGGTTCCGTCAACAAGAAAGGAGGGCATGGCAGGAAATTCGTCTCTCTGTCTTCTTACGCAAGAGCGAGCAAAAGCCTACACTTTCGCGATCAACCAGGCAAGGCCCAGGTAAGACTTTCCCGGACCTGAAGCTGGTTGAAAAAAAACACGATTCTTCATAGATCGATGGAATCTCGAGTCTCTTTGGGCACTCCCGCTTCACTTGTTCCGGGAAAGGGCGGGACATTGTGAATCACGGCCCGCATACCCAATCCAAAAAAAAACTTATCTCTGCACGAAGGCTACCGGCGATATTGATAGGAGAGCCGGGAGCCTACTGCACGCGTGGCGCCCCGTCTGCAACCGACATGAAGAGAAGGTTGTATTTACCTGCCGGAGGGGGGGTTCTGCTGCTGGTGCTGGTGCTGCTCGTGCTGTGGTTGTTGTTGCTGGTGCTGGTGCTGGTGCTGGTGCTGGTGCTGGTACTCTTGCTGCTGCTGCTGCTCTTGTTGTCGTTGCTCTTGCTGCCGTTGCTGCTGCTGCTGCTGCTGCTGCTGCTGCGGGGCGCACGGGACCGCCAAGGAGAGGGCCGCGAGAACGGAGGCGCTGGGCCCCGCCGGGTGCATGGAAAGGAGTTCGATCGCCTTCGGTGTCAGGTAGACAGTGCTGCCACTGCTTTCCCCCGTAAAACAAAGCACCAACAACACACAGAAAAAGCAAAGAGGAAGGGGGTTATCCGGAGATCCACGTGAGTGCGAGAAGAAAACAGCCTGGTCTGGCGTAACAATATTTCCACCTTCTCTGTCGTGTGATGAAGCGGTTCGGTCCTTGCAAAGCACTCGGAAGCTCACGATACCGTGGCATCCGTCAGTCAGCCAGCTAGGCGAGAGGCAGATGAGACCACGGGATATCGGTTTGAGCGAAAAAATAACGACCACAAACTGCCGCTGGTACTCTCGTCGTTCATTGGCACAGGACACATGGCACGAAAACGAAAAAGTCGGAAAAATTACGGATAGCTCTGACTAACACAACCCACTTTGGACCGTGGAAATATCAAGCAAAATTGCGCGTCTCTCTCTCTCTCTCTCTCTCTCTCTCTCTCTCTCTCTCTCTCTCTCTCTCTCTCTCTCTCTCTCTCTCTCTCTCTCTCTCT